CATTGACGTCTGTCCTCCAGGTCCTGCGACGGTGCCTTCCCCAGGCCAAACACTAGCAGGACAGCCCCTGGGGTGTCCAGATGGTAGACCCCACCACTGGGTTTAATGACAGGAACCAAAGAGTATAGAAAACCCCAGGCTCCGGGTTAATCTCCCTCAGACAAAACCCAGCCTATTGTTACCCCATGTTATATAAGAGGCAACCCAGAGAGTTATAATATTGAAAACCAACCTCTATTGAGTATTTGATAAGCACGCTTCTAAGCTCTCTAAAGGACATTGTCTCAAAAAAATTTAACCATCATAAAGCATTTGGTCCCCATTTTACAGATAAAGAAACTGAGGCACAGAGAGGCCAAGTTCCTTGACCAAGGGCATCCAATTACTCCTGGAAGTCAGGAAGGGTCTGGGTCCAGGCTTGAGAGTGAGATGGGACTGACTCTAGTGAGGCTGACTGTGGCGTCTGTCCACCTCTGGGCTCATCCTTTAATGTCTGTCTCACTATTGAAACTTTACAGCAAACAGATGGTGGAGGGCGGCAGGCTTCGTCCTGCTTCATGTTGGAACCCTCTGGGGAGTTCTTAGAAAATACCCACATCCTACCTCAGACTATTTACATCTGGGTGTGTGACTTTTTTTTTTTTTTAATAAGCTTCCAGGGAGGTTCTAGTGGGGTGATTAGTTCATTCATCATAGGGGCAAACAGGATCGGAGAGCGTGACAAGGAATGTCCACAATTATAACGAAAAACAAAAATAATGGCTGGCTAACAAATATTTAGCAAGCACTTATGCAGTGCCAAGCTCGGGTGTGAGCGCTGCGTGTGTTATCAGCTGCCCTCCAGGGCAGGGTCCGTGGACACCACCTGATGTTCAGGAATGTTAACTGCCCTGGGCCTGGGCCACAGGGCTGTGGAGGAAGCACTGCTGGATTCGAACCCAGAGCCACGCTCTGAACACCAGCCTGGAGTGCCAGGGAATCTCAGCCTGGCCCCTGCCCTTCCCTGTCCAGGGCCACTAGGCACAAGACGAGGGTGTTTTGAGGATGTTTGATTCCCGTTTGGAGACTGGGGCCCTGGGAGGAGCTGTAGCTGGCATGGGGGTGGCTGTGGGGCTTGGCTCAAGGGCTCTCTGGCCCCGGGGGAGCTGGCACCCTCTCCAGAGTCCTTGCCCCAGGGCACTGCTGAGGCCCCGGAGGTCAGAGTGGCACCCCAACGTTTGGCCATTATTTTCCTTTGAATGAACACTCTGGACCCTCACAGCCACCTCGTGGGGTCTTTGCTGTCATCTGTGTTCTTCAGATGAAGCCTGGGGGGGCGGGGGGGGGGAGTCCCTGAACCAACCCCGCAGCTGGGAACTCTGCGGTTGGATCTGAACCCAGGTCAGGAACCCAGACCCCAGGTCCGAGCCGCTGCGCTGGGAAGGTTATCAGTGGGAAAACCGCAGGCTTGAGCAGGGGCCGTGCTAGAGAGCCAGAAACTTGGGTCTGGAAGGCGGTTCCAGAAGTCCAGCGGGAAGCGAGGGCCTAATCATGATCACTAGTGCTGACCGGCACCGCTTCCTGGGTCAGCGGGTCCCAACTTCTTTCCCATACAATCTCCTTGCCCCACCGCCATCTGCAGGAAGCCATGAGACTGGGATTGTCACCTCCTGTCTCCTCACAGCCTGGAGGGGGAGGCCATGGACCCGGGAGGGGCTGGTCACATGTGGAGCGGGCTGTGTTGCTGGGTCCACGCTGGGTCCTGCTTGCACGTGGCTCGCCCTGTGTGGGAAGTGCTTTTCCTGTCCCCAGCAAATGAGGACAGGGACACCCACAAAGGCTGCTTGCTGGGCAGGGTCAGCTCCACCCTTCTTGTCTTAGGCCCGGGCTTAATACACAGCCGTGGTCCAGCTGGTGGAGGGGAGAGCGTGGCCCCGTGGAAGGTGGGTTCCCAGGGCTCCAGAAACCCAGGTTCCGTCCTGAGAACCTGTTGGCCTGGAGCTGCTGGGCCCTTGATGCAGGGGTGCGGGGGAGGCCTTTGAGGGAGCTCCCCGAGTCTCTGGAATACACCTCAGGCCATTTCGCCCTCAGAACCCTTTGAGGTGACAGGGGTTAAAACCCCATTTCCCAGGGCTGCAAACTGAGGCTTAAGGAAGGTGAATTTGGGCTCGGGGGGTGACTCAGGGGCAGAGCGCTTGCCGAGCACGCGGAAGGCTCTGGAATTAATCCCCAGCTCTGCAAAGCAACAGAAAAAGAAAAAAAGGCAAATCTGTCCTGCAAGGTCCCCCAGAGCTAGGAAACCCCTCCTCTGGTTTCCTGCGCAGGATGGAGTGGCTTCCAGGAGCCAGCCCTTGGTCCCCAGAGGGACAGGTAATGTGAGAGGCTCAGAGCCCATATTTGGAGTGTCGCGGGCCCTGCCTCCGCCTGGCTGGGTTTTATTCATTATCGCTAATCCCTCGGCCTTTGTAATGAGGCGGTTGTCTCCTTGGTTTCTCGGGAGGAAACTGAGACTGTGGGGAACGTTGCCGGCTGAGGAGGGGAGCAGGCTGCCTCCGGAGCCCAGGAGCTGGGTGGCCCTTCCAGACCCCTCCACTGGGCTCCCCCAGCTGTGCCCTGGCAGTTCGGATGTCCCGACCCTCCCGAGGTGCAGCGGCCTCTACCCCGTCCCCTGGCCTTGTTGGTCAACTCAGGTTTCCATCCTGGGTGTTGCCCTGGGAGCCAGGTGTGGCTAGGGGGCTGGCGCAGGGGTGGGTTCCCCAGCCAGCCAGGAGTGGGGGCCGGGCGCCGGCGGCCATGAGATACCACCCAGGGAATGCGGTCCGGCCACCCCACCCTGGAGAGCCAGCCGAGAGCTCCAGAGCCTTCCAGGCGCGGAGAGCAGACACCCAGCAAACCGGTTGTGCTGCTCCTGGCTGCCACCCCCCCCCTCCCTCCGTTAGAAGGTTGGCAGCCTGTGCGGGCCACACCCTACCTGCTTGAGAAGCCCCAGTTGTCTGGGAGTTCAAAGCAGCTCTGCTGCGAACCGGCTGAGTAACAGCCAGCCAGTTAACTAGCTAAGTGCATGACTAACTGGCTGAGCGGCTGACGGTTCAATGGTTAGTTAAGACAATAGGCAGCAGTTCTGCTTGATGATACCTGTTAGTTTCTTAGATTGGGACAAAGCCCCAAATCTGGGCCTAACAGTGCATAGATAGAGCTCAGGGTGCCCAACTCAGTGCAGGGGTACACACTTGTAATCCCAGAGACTCGGGAGGCTGAGGCAGGAGGATCATAAGTTGGAGCCAGCCTCAGCAACTTAGTGAGGCCCTAAGCAGCTTAGCACGACTGTTTGGCGGGGGACACAAACCTGCAGTTCCGCCAACAGTCACCTAAGCAGACAGGTCATCGCAGATGCCGTGGTGCTGAGGGGAACGTGTGAACCTGGCTCTCCAGCCCAGCGCAGGCGGCAGCTCCTCTCCCCAGCCCTCCGCCCCCGCTTCCCTCATACCACCTGGGAGATGGCCCCACATCTGTGCACCAAGAGCTGCGTGGGAATCCAGAGTTGAGCGTGCACTCAGGTCCCTTGTGGTCTTCTGCTGCTACAGATGTGCTTCAGGGGGACCCTGCACACGGTCCCTTCCTGCATGTCAGTTGAGGCAGTCTCAGGCTGTGACCCAAGTCTGACTGGCTGCAAAGCCCATTTCCTCTCCTGTGGGGACCCTTGATCTGCATAGCACCTTTATGTAATTTGGAAGCTTCTTTCATGTCATTAGCCTGAAGATGTTTAAAACAGACATTCAGATCTACACTGTCTGGTATAGACGGGCCTGGTATAGACGTGCAGTGCACAACCTGCCCAGCTGTACCCAGTGGTTTTGTGCTGCCCTCGGCCTCTTGCTGAGGCCCTCTTCCTTCCTGCCTGCTGCAGACATACTCCGGCCTCTTCTGTGTGGTCATCAACCCATACAAGCAGCTTCCCATCTACACGGAGGCCATTGTGGAGATGTATCGGGGCAAGAAGCGCCATGAGGTGCCACCCCATGTGTATGCAGTGACAGAGGGGGCCTACCGAAGCATGCTCCAAGGTGAGTGTGGGCTGGGGCTTCAGGCCGGAGCGAGAGCTCGTCACTGGGTGCTCTCAGAAGCCGGGGCTGAACCCAGGCTGGGCATTTCCGACTCTTGGCGGGTTCTTGGGGAACCGGAGGGAACACGAATGGAGGCCTGGGCGGCCAGGCGCTGGGTCCTTCCACACAGCCCTGCTGTGTTCCCCTTCTTTCAGCCATGTTGTTTGGAAACCAACTGGTGTCGGGCTTCTACAGGAATTTCCCTTGAGGGACGGTAACTCCCTCAAGTGTCCATTCATTGGACATCGGGGGCTGAATTTCAGACCTGCTGTACCTTGTCATGGGGTGAAAAGCAACCTTTAGACAGATGACAGCACAAGGCTGCTGCGTACAGCTGGTCAAGTTGTGCACTTCCAAGGGCGTCCTAAGGATGGGTCCCCTGACAACATGGAGCAGTCGGGTCAAGTTACAGAATTAGTGTACCTGACGCACTCCTTATGTATCACCTATTTTAGTAAATATTTAGTACGTAGTAAGTATATATTAGACACATGACATTTTACCTCTAATTATATCCAATGACATGATAGCAAACAGCAGCATGTGTGGTGGACGTATTGTACTGGTCCGCTGCGTTTCTACTGTGTGTTCTAATAATACACGCACGCCGTCTAATGTGGTGGTCCCCATAGCGGGGACAGCATTGGCAGCTCCCCCTCCCCCCACCTGCTGGGTCAGACGTTCTGGGGCTCTGGGGACACCCAGCAGGGGGCATGTGCTGCGGGGCCCGGTGGCTGCTTCATGCTGAGGGCTGGAGAGTCACGGGCGCAGGGTGCCTGGGAGGGGCCTCTGTGTGTGAGAGTGTCCTTCCAGGTGATGGGTTCAGGCTCACGTGACCCAGCTGTGCGAGGTGACAGCCAGCCGCGTCTGGCCATGTAACGTAACTTTGTTCCTTATTTGCTTTCCTCATAATCCGGAGCTATTGTCACCTGCCAGCTATTGTGATATCTGAGGGATAAGCAGCCGAGTCCGGCGGCCCGCAGGCCCGCATCTCTCCCAGACCTGCTTCTCTGGAGCCTGCCTGGGCCCGCGTGTGGTCGCTCTGGGTGCGGGCTGCGGTTTCCAGTTCTTTCTGATTCCGTTTCTGTTCACCTCCGCTGTGGTCTGAGGGCAGCTGGGGCTGGCTCTGGACCCCCACCAGCCCGTGCAGCGTGCCGTGGTGCAGAGTCCCCGTCTGTCTTGAGATGGTCGCGGGCGGCGTGTTCCGCTGTGGTGTGTGAGGCTGGTGGCCCACGGTGCCCGCTGCTCCGCGGGGCCCTGGTTCAACTCTGACCTCCTGATCTTCGTCCTGCCCGTGTGTCTGTGTTTGTGCAAGGGATGTTGACGTCCCCAACTGGAATAGTGGCTTCCGCTGTTTCTCCTGGCGGTCCTCTGTTTGTATGTCGCTGGGTTACATCATCAGCCTCGCGGTACCCGCTGTCTCTCATTTCTAGATGGGGACACTGAGGCACGGAGCAGTGCAGCCGCTCTGGGGTGACACCGGTGGGTGGGTGGCTGGGCGCTGGGTCTTTGTGTCCTGCTGTAGGGTCTGGTCCCTGCTGGGCGTGTGGAGGACATTCTCCCTGGGCTGCTGTTTCACGTCCCCTTTGTCAGATGGGGAATCGGAGGCACAGAGCTGCTCAGCGGCTGGCCCCAGGCCACACAGAGAACCAGCCAGGTCTCAACGCTGTGTCCCTGTGACACCCGAACCAGGCTGCTCACCCCGAGGTCCCGCTGGGGGCAGCTCATCCTCCCCCCACCCCTTAAAACCACACAGACCCTTAATGAGGCTCGAAACCCAGCTGCCCCCTCCCGCCTCGCCCCCGGGCCTCTTCTGTCCCTCCACCCTTCGGCTCAGCGCCTCCTGCAGGCCCTGGGGCTGTGTCCTCCGCCTGCCCCAGTGCTGCCCCTGTCTGAAAGGTCACCTCTTCTGAGCTGGCCTGCTCTGTCCCCATGCCGTCCCCTCCGACCCCAGCTTCGGGCCTGGCTCTATCCACCTGAGGAGCCAAACACGTCTTTGGTGTTGGTTCCCGTTTTGCTCGTCCCCCGCTGGAGCTGAAGCTCCATGACACCGTCCTGTCCCCGAGTCCCAGGCGGCTGGATTTTAGCAGGTCATCCTTTGCGTGGGAATGATTCTGCAGGGCCCAGGTGGGCAGATCGGGGCTGAAGTTCAAGACTTCATTCTGTGTCTTTGAGTCTCTGAAGCCCAGATGAAGTGGCGCACAATAGGGACTCAAATCGTGATTATGATCTGTTCAGTGGGGTTTGTGGTCTCCATTTCCAGGTGAGGAAACCAAGGCACAGGGAGGGGCAGCTGCTTTCCCAGGGTCACACAGCAAGCAAGAGGCTTAGTCAGGGACGGATATTAGAATCCAGGAGTGTCATGCAACAAAACCCAATCATTTCCTTACCCTTTGGAAATGATTTTAAAATGCATAAGGGACCAGAGGGTCCTGTGGGAGAGCCCCTCCCACATGACATGCTCCCCTTCTTTCCTCTACAGATCGCGAGGATCAGTCCATTCTCTGCACGTGAGTAATCTGGAAGGACTTCCTGGAGGAAGAGGGTCCCGGCTGGGCATGTTCTCTTTGCAGCGGGCAGGGCAGGGGCTACCTGGCCTCCTTACCCAGCCCTGTGCTTCCCCGTGTTCCCCCACAGTGGGGAGTCTGGAGCCGGGAAGACAGAAAATACCAAGAAGGTCATCCAATACCTGGCCCACGTGGCATCATCGCCGAAGGGCAGGAAGGAGCCTGGCGTCCCCGTAAGCCATCCAGCCTTGGGACACCCCAGGCCTGGCCACGAGCGTCGTCCCCTCTGTCCTGGGTTTTGCTCCCCACACACTGCCTGCCTTCTTCACAGAGCTGCTGTCTCCTGCCCCTAGGCTGCCCGAGCACCTACTGTGTGCCTGAGCACCTACTGTGTGCCTGAAGCACCTACTGCGTGCCTGTGCACCTACTGTGTGCCTGAGCACCTACTGTGTGCCTGAAGCACCTACTGCGTGCCTGAGCACCTACTGTGTGCCTGAAGCACCTACTGCGTGCCTGAGCACCTACTGTATGCCTACAGCACCTACTGTGTGCCTGAGCACCTACTGTGTGCTGCAGTGGTGCTGGGAGTGAGGCGGGGCCATACACAGATGGTCCTGAATGGCACCCGGCACTCTGAGCCTGACTGTGGTGTCCATGTGCCTGGGCATGGGGTCTGCATGGCCGCCTGTGCTGCTCCCACTTCCCACATCTCTGTCCTGTGACTCAGCAGCCCTGAAGCAGGGCCTCTGTCTCCCCGAGGTAACCATGAGAAACCCTAGGCAGGGGCGGGTGAATCCTGCTCGCACCCTGGAGTGGGATCACGCCCGGGCCTGTGGCCCCGCCCCGTGCCATCCCACTCCACAATCCTGGTTCCGCTGCCCCCTGGCCCTGCCTCTGTCCAAGGCCACCTGTTCACCTGTGTGTCTGTCCACGTTCCATGTGCTGTGTCCTGGTCCATGTCTCGTGTCCCATGACTTCCTCAGGCCTCCGCCAGCACCGTGTCTTATGTGAGTAGCAGGGAACTGCCTCCAGTCTTGCTGCCCCTAATGTGCCCTGGCCACCCAGCCCGCGGTCATCTGGTAGAGAGGGTCCAAGAGTGATCGCACCAGCCAAGGACTGCGCACAGTAGGAGTGCACTTATCAGTCCTACTGTGTGCAGGCCAAGGCCCATGCTGTCATTTGGTGCAACCCTACTGTGTACACACTTCCCCCTGCTGCTGTTTACAGTGGCCCTACTGTGTGCATGTACCCAGGCCCCATGCTAACATGGATAGCCCAGATACCAATGTACCTCTTACTGCTGATCCACTGTGTGTCTAGAGGTGGCGGTGATACTGCCTCCACACATGCAGAGCTGGCAGCCGAGCGAGGGAGGCAGACTCCCGTATTGCATGCTCATGTGCCAAGCCACATGTTCATTTCGCTTTGCATATATTTTTTCACTCTTCAAAACCGCCCACCAGCTGAGACCATTTCATCCAACTCAAGCAAGATGTAGACTGAGAAGACACACGTGGGCTTCTGTTTAACTGAGCACCTACTAGGTGCCAGGTCTAATACGGAGGGTCAGGAGGGAACGTCAGTGAGGGTCCCCCCATGGAGCAGGCTTGTTGAATGCCTGCTTTGTGCCGGAAGTTTGAAGAGCTTTTCCTGGATGGTGTAGACTCATTCTCTAAGTGACGCCTGGGCGCATGTGCATCACCACCACGACAAAATCAGACAGAGTGGAAGTCCCCTCTCCTCCTCGCAGTCCCGAGTGGCTTGCGCGGCTGACAGCTTGGTGTGTGACCTGGCAGTCTTTTCCATGTTTACCAACGTGTGTGTATCTGTAGAAAGAAGAGTTTTGTTTCCTGGTGTTTCTCCCTCGATGTATTTTTAATTAATGGGCGCTGCTCTCCAGCTGGTCTTTTCCTGTTTGGTTCCATCTCCCCTCGGGATGTCTTGGTAGAAGGAGCAGCAGGACCCGGATGTGGGGGGCGGGCATGACCCCCAGGAGGGCCCCTCCCACACAGACGCTCAGCCCGCCCCTGGTCCCCTCTCCCTGACGCCCATGTCCCACCCCGGCAGGGGGAGCTGGAGCGGCAGCTTCTTCAGGCCAACCCCATCCTGGAGGCCTTCGGCAACGCCAAGACAGTGAAGAACGACAACTCCTCCCGATTTGTGAGTGCTGGGGACGGCTGGGCGCCAGGGGCATGGGCGCTGGGCACCTGGGGTGGGGCCAGATGGGTGGGCTTGCTGGAGGGGGCTGGGCCTGGACCCTGGGTCTGAGGGGGGGGCTGGGCCTGGACCTTGAATTCTGCAGGGGACCCTTCCCTGGGGACGCACAGTTGGGGTGGGATTGCGGTCTCAGTGGAGAGGAAGTCAGAGGCATTCCCGCTGTGGGCGGATGTGGGGTGGGGCCCCTTGGGGTCTGAGGGGTAAAAGACCCTCTCTGAAGCTCCCATGTCGTCCCTCCCAGGGGAAATTCATCCGCATCAACTTTGACGTGGCTGGGTACATCGTGGGCGCCAACATCGAGACCTGTATCCTCTCACAGCCCTGAGGGGTGCCGGGGAGGACCTGGGGTGGCCGAGGAAGGTGGCCCTTTGAATGTGGACCGTACAGGAGGCAGCTCCAGTGCAGGGCTGCCAGCCCCCACTTCTTGAGCTCAGATGCAGTGACATAGTCTGGCGTAGGCAGCAGGGTGTGGGTGGCTGCTGGTCGTGCAGGTGCTGGGCTAGGGCTCATGCCCACCCACCTCCAGTGATGGACTGGAAGGATCCCCAGACTCAGCTGCAGAGCCCTCGGTCCGGCTGTGGCTCACCACAGTGAAGAGGTGCAAAGCAAAGTCAGGAGGTGGAGATGGCTCTGGGGGCCAAATCCAGGGAAGCCAGCTAGAGCTTCCAGAACCCTCTCTCAGTGGAGACACTCGAGATGTCTCCTGCGGCGAGGTATGATGACTGCGTCGGGTGTTGTCCAGCCTAAGTCTTGGGGGCAGGGTTGTTAGGGGGGCTAGTCACATGGCCCTCCCTGCCTAGCATGTGCCCAAATCCCCAACTCCTAGAAGGATGGCAGGTGTTCAGTGCAGACCACACAGATGCCCCCAAACATCCAGTCCCAGTGAGCCCCTCCTCAGTTAGGGAATGCCAGGGACCCTCCCAGAATCTGGGTTCCCAGGCGCCAGCCCACCTTGCCAGCGGGCCTTACAAGGAGAGGCCTCGGGCTGCCCTGTCTCGCTGCCCTGTCTCGCTGCCCTGCACGGCTGGCATGCAGCGCTCAAAGGAATTTCCAGGAGGAGACACCAGCCTCCGGGAGGGCAGAAGGAAGAGAAAGGGAGTCACACCTCCTGGCTTACATCCTGCTCCGAGGCTTTGCAGCTGCACCTTGGCCACTCCATTTGCACACCTTCTGCCTCAGTGTCTCCTTCTGTAGGCGGAAAAGGAGCACAGAACCTGCCTCAAGGGGCTCGGAGGACTGTGTGAGTCACAGCTTAGCGAGGGAGCCCACCGCATAGAAAGAGCCATCGTTGCCAGCCATTCATGACTACGGTAGTTAGCCGTGCGCTGAGGGTGACAATCGATTGACAACCATACAGCAGTAACGCCACCAACTGTTAATAAGAAGCCACACCCCCTCCTTCAGGCTGGCTCCCCGCACCTGGGGAAAGGGTCTCTGGTCAGGCCAGAAGCACCAGGGGTCTCAGCTCTTGGGCCCAGCTGCCTTTGAGACCAGTGACAGGTGCGTGGGCTCATGCTCACAGGCCCAGTAACCACCCGGGCCAGTCAGAGGGGTGTCAGGGTGGCCCATGGGTGGGGGCCTGGGCCGGAATCCTCACCCCAATGGTGCCGCTGTCATCCCCACTCAGCAGGAGGAAGCCAAGGCTTGGGGTGATAGTGATCCAGGTCCCCATTCCTCCAGGGGCCCTTCCCCCACCCCTCCCATCCACCTCAAGCAGATTACCTACCGTCTTCACCCACTTTTGGAAAAGAGACCTCATGATTTGATCTTGGGCAAAATATGGGCTCCATGGTCCTGTGTTCTATTTTGCTCTAAGGTGTCCTGCCATTATTTATTGTGTAAACATGTCACATGACTTAGAAGGAAAGAACACATGAGGGACACAGTCTAGTGGGCGGGAGGGAGCTGATAGTCCCAACATCCAGGTGGGAAGACTGAGGCCAGCGGGGAGCTGACACCCTGCTTGCCCATGGGCAATGGAGAGCCAGGTCCTTCTGGGTGCTTCCTGCCTGGCAGGTCATTTTCTCTGGCAGCAGCTCACTCAGAGGTGGTATTTTTAAGCCCCATGAGCAGATGAGGAAACTGAGGCGTGAGTGCTTAGGTGACATGTCCAAGTCCACTTACCCAGTTAGTGGCACAGTCACTAGCCGGGCTGCAGGTGACTCCACAGCTTTGCAGGGGTATGTGGGCTGGCAACACCCAGGGCTCCTGGGCTCCCTCCTCTCTCTGGCTCCTTGACTCGCCTCCCCTGAGACCTGCTGGAGAAGTCCCGCGCCATCCGCCAGGCCAAGGACGAGTGCAGCTTCCACATCTTCTACCAGCTGCTCGGGGGCGCTGGGGAGCAGCTCAAGGGTCAGCGCACCCCCAGCCCTGCCCAGCGCTGCTCACAGGGAGGGGTGGGAGCCGCGTTGGGGGCCCGGGGAGGAAGGAGCAGGACGCTCCTGGGTGGATTCTGCTGCCCTCTGGTTCCAGCTCTCTCCTGACTCTCGCTCCCGCTCGCTGTCCTGGCTCGTGGCTCCGCTGCCTCCTGGCCCCTGCTCCTCCTGGCTGCGTGGCCCCGTGGCTCCTGCTCACACTTCTGACGCTGCGGGCTCCGCTGGCTGTGGCTCCTCTGCCCCTGCTCACACAGCCAGGGTTACCCGGTGACTCCGGCTCTGCTGTGGCTCCGGCTGCCTCTTGCCTCCTGATGGTCCTGGTGTGTGCCCCTCTCGGCTCCTGCCAGCGCCCCCATCTCGCTCCTGCAGCCACACCCCGTTTCTGCGGCCACGCCCCCCTCCGCGCCTGTCCCCCACTGCCTGGCTGCAGCTTCCCATTTCTCCTCATTCACCCTGTAGCTAGCTTGTGCTTCCTCTTGCTCCTGCTGCCACATGGCCCTTCATCACTCAGGGCCACTCTCTGTGGCGTCTGAAGCCACACGTCCTCTGGTGCTGGTGCTCACCTCCCATGGCCTCTGTAACTCTCATTCCCAGCCCCGCTGCACCTGCCCGGGATAGCTCCTGCCTGATCCCGGAGCACACAGGAGGTGTCTAATGTGTGCTAACACCAGCTCCATGCCCAGCGCTTTCTGCCAAACCTGTGAGGGAAGGACCCTGTCCATGCAACAGAGGGGAGGGCCTGGTCCCGGTCCACCATCAGGGGACCTGACTGTGGCTGACCCCTGACCGCGTCCCCCTCCTGCCCCCTGCAGCCGACCTCCTCCTGGAGCCCTGCTCCAACTACCGCTTCCTGACCAATGGGCCGTCATCCTCTCCGGGCCAGGAGCGGGAGCTGTTCCAGGAGACGCTGGAGTCCCTCCGGGTCCTGGGGTTTGCCCCTGAGGAGATCACCTGTGAGTGAGCCCCGAGCCTTGGCGAAGGCGGGGGCAGAGGTGGGGGTGGGGGGCCTTGGCTCCTCTGCTGAAGCATTTATCAAGTACAGGCCCTGGGGCCTCGGACCCTGCCTTGGGGAGACTGACGGGCAGATAAACAAGGGTTTCTGTGGTGCACTAGAAGGTGATGAGAGCGCGGAGGAGAACAGACCAGGGGGCCGAGAGGAGGGGCTGTGTCACCCGGGGCTCAGGAAGATGCCTGGAGACAGGGGTGTTTGAGCGACGAGGGAGGCGGGGAGGTGACCGTCAGAGAGGCTGGGGGAGGGTGGAGGAAGCAGCCTGTGCCAAGGCCCTGGGCAAGGAACGTGCCACACTGGAGGCCCCCAGTCCAGCAAGTCTCAGGCAGGTGAGGTGATGGCGCTGGTAGGGCCTAAAGTGCTGGCCTCAGGGTTGGGCTTGTCCTGGGGCTGCTGGGGCGCCCTGGGGACTCTGGGAGCAGGGACAGGATGAGGGCAGCTCTAGGAGAAGAAAGACGCCTTGGTGGTGCGTGAGGACGCACGAGTGGAGGGGTGGGGGCCACCTGGGACGCTGGCTGGGGTCTGCGGGCGGTCCGGGCGGGGGTGCTGGCAAAGCCCCCACCTTTTTCAGTGAGTGGTTTGTCCCGCCCGGGGCTCGGCATGCTGTGTGTTTGTTTGTCTGCTCCAACTGCTGTGACACAGATCCCCCTTCAAAGGACGGGGGTCACCCCGCCACCTCCTCTTAACTCAGTACATCTCAGTGACCTTATTTCCACAAAGGTCAGTTCTGAGGACCTGGGCTTGGGCTTCCACACATCTTTTGTGTGTTTGGGGTGTGGACCCTGTCGACCCCTGGCCCCAGGTGGGGAGATGGACTCCAGGGTCTTCAAGGTGGCCTGAGGTCTTGTGTCGGCTGAACGCTGAGTCTTTAGCAGAGCTGGGGAGGAAGATTCTCCTCTGGTCCCTGGCACTGTAGGAAGGAGCTGTTGTTGCTCGGGTGGCAACGGCAGGTATGGAGTGCCGCTTGGCCCTCTACCCAGGCGGAACAGCTCGGCCTCTTTGGTCATATTGACACAGCCCTCCCCCGCCCCGCCAGAGTTTCCAGCCGGGTTGTGTAAGGCCCCAGCAGGCCTGTCCCAGCAGCTGGGCAGCTGGCAGACATGTCCAGCCCCAGCCCCATCCTGCAGGTCCTGGCTGACCCCTCCTGCCACCCCCTGCAGTGCAGTGAGCACAGCCAGCAGCTCTGATTTCTGCATTTCCAAAGCAAAAATTTTGGAGTAACCTGTGCCTTCAAGAGACATGGCCAGAATGGGGCCAAAGGTCAACTGAGAAATCCAAGTGTCCTTCCAGCCCTGGCCCTAGTTTCCCCCCTGTCTCCTTCAGAAGTGCTTCAGGCACATAAGAAGACGTGTACAGCTGTACTCCCGTGTCCACGGCGTTCCAGCTCTCCCACGGGATGCCCGGCACCCTCACATAAAGTGGCACAGTGTTTTATACAACCCATAGTCTCCGCCCACATGCTCTGAATCATCTCCAAATGACTTGCAATACCTAATATCAAAGAAAATGCTATGCAAATAGTTGTCCCATGGTGTCACTTAGGGTTAACTGATGGGGAGAGTCTTTATGCGTTCAGTAACTTCAGTACCGGTGACACATTTTCTCATGTTTGATCCGAGTCTGGCCGAGTGCACAGATGCGGGCTGCTTCGGCTGCTTCGCTCTCTTTCAGTAGGGAGGCGCTCTCCGCCCCAGGCTGGCGTTGGCCGTGCTGCTGATAAAAACACGATGCTGCCGTCTACTGCGTTTTAAAGCTGGTTGTTCTTGAAGGGTGCCTGGCTCCCTGGCCTCCCACCAGGTCCCCAGGACTTTCAGAGGCAGGCACTCCAGGTTAGCACCTGGCATGGCCGCCTGGCAGCTGGCCCAGCTTGGTCTGGTCTGGTCTTCTTGGTCTGGTCTGGTCTTCTTGGTCTGGTCTTGGTCTTGGTGTGGTCTTGGTGTAGTCTTGGTCTTGGTCTTGGTGTGGTCTTGGTGTAGTCTTGGTCTTGGTCTGGTCTTGGTCTTGGTGTGGTCTTGGTGTGGTCTTGGTCTTGGTGTGGTCTTGGTCTGGTTGTGGTCTGGTCGTGGTACCGGTGGCAGAGGCTCCACCTGTGTGTGGGGGCGTGATTCTGCAAGAAGTGGACCTCAGACCTTTCCCTAACTTAACACTTCACGGCGTTTCCTTTCTGTCACTGTTAGAGTTACAAAGACAAAACCGGATGGAGCACAGCCTTGCCGAGGAGGTCTGTGTGGTCCCCGTGAGCACATCTGTAGGGCCAGTTCTGAGAGGTGAAGTGTGGAATCCAAGGGGACAGGGAAGGTTTTGTTTGTATCTAGCTTAATTTTTCTTTTTGGAAGCATTGGGGATTGAACCCGGGGTGCTCTACCACCGAGTCCTTGTCTTTTATTCTGGCTAAGTGGCTGAGGCTGGCCTTGAACCTGTCTGTGATCCTGCCTCCGCCTCCCAAGTTGCTGGGATCCTAAGTCTGCGCCACTGCATCTGGCAGCTTAAAAAATTCTGATAACTTTATTTCAGATACAATTTATCATACCATTTGTTTCTTTAAAGGGTACAACTTGGTGGCTCTAGTACAGTCACAGCCTTGTGTGCTGTCACTGTGATCATTCCGGAACATTTTCAGCAGCTGAGAAGACCTGTCACACCCCTTTGCCAACACCCCAGCTTCCTGCCCTGGTCCCACCAACCACAGACCTGCTTCCTGCCTCTGTGCATTTGCCCACTCGGAGCCCTCACGTCAGTGGGTCCTTGTCTGGCTTCCCTCACGCAGCGGTGTGTGTTCAAGGGTCCGCGCTGTAGCACGCGGCATGCTTCAGTCCCCCTTTTTGCAGATTAGTTCAGACTTCATCTCTTTACGGTGGAAAGTGTCAGACAGGTGTACAAGCAGGGTGGAAGGAACCCGTCACCGCTCCAGAAGTTGTGGCCTCTCCTGTCACCGCCCTGCCCACCTCCCAACTTGTTTTTACTGTAGGGAGCTACCGTGCTGCCATCCATAAGATGGTGCTAGTTTCCAGTTACCCCAGGAGCGCCTGTTGGCCCCCATCCCTGCCAGCAACCACGGTGGGAAGCCTTTTGGCTTTGGCCAGTGTAGCCGGTGGAGGATGCCATGCTACAGTTTTATTTCGTGCTTCCCTTGAGAGGAGTGCAGCTCATCACCTTTTGATAGATGCTGCTTCTGACAGAAGAGGAGACAGAGGGTCAGGGCAGTGGGTGCCTGCTCCAGGGCTCACCTTAATTCAAGAGGAGGGGACAGAGTTGTGGAAGAATCCAAAGTCAGGCCATGATCCGTTTGCCGAGAAGCAGATGGATACCTCAGTGTCACCCATAGGCCGTCCAGGCGGAAAGCATCTGGGGCCAGTTGAGGCAGGGCCTCCTCCCCCCACATCAGGTCCTGTCTTTCCCTGCCAGTCCTCAGCACCAAGTGTGCCAGGCCCAGAGACTGTGCTGGGGACACAGGGAGGCATGGCAGCCTCTCATGTGAGCCAGGCTCAATGTCACCAGCCCCCATGGTCCCCCTGCCAGGGCTTGTGTGTGATCAGCAGCTCTGAAGTCCTCAGTGAGAGCTGACCACCCCGTCCTCAGGGCGTCACCTTTGCCCAGGCACTTGACAAAAACACAGATTCCTGAGCTGACCTCACGGGCCATTTTCAAGGCCACCAGGGAAACCTGAGTCAGGACGGGTCCTCGCTGATGTTCGTCAGGCGAGACGGGGCAGGTGATGGGGACGGGTCTGGGTGGAGGGCATGTCCTTATTGACCTTTTGAGATGCATTCCGAGAAGAGTTACCACGAGGGGTGAAGTGATACCCTCTCTGGGGTTTGCTTTAATGTATTCCTGCAAAAACAATCAAAACTAGCCAGGAAGAGGAGATGGGGGCAAGGATGGCCGACCTGTGGATCTGTAGAACCTGGGCTTTGGGAGCCTGAGGGGTCACAGAATCTTCTAGAAAGTTCTCATAGAAAGAAGTTAAATAGCCCACGTGCACACGGGGCTGGGCCTGCAGCTGCCTCACCAGAGAATCCAGGGAAAGGTGGAGTGTGGCTGTGACTCTTCCTTAAGGGGACTTTGTCCCGTGTTCTGAGTGATGTTGCACTGATGGTTATAACCAC